TTTTTCTTCTTGGCCTACTGGGTCCTTTGGTTTGCTTAAGATGTTTTGGAGGGCTTCATTTGGTTTGTGTGCTATGGAGATGCCACATGGTTGTAATAGTCTGTTGGTAGTTTTTGAGATGTTTCTGATGTATGGCAGTGTTATCCTTTTCATAGCTTGTGTTGGTTGTGTTGAATGAAGTAGGTTCAGCGGCCAGGCACTTTTTGATAAAGTTGCATGGATATCCATTTTGTTGGAAGATGTTTTATAGGTGGTCTGTTTCCTTTTTCTGCTATTCTGGGTTGCTGCAGTGCATTGTGCTCCTCTTGTGGGAGGTTGGGTTGTTACTTTGGTACTGGAGTACTTGATTAGTGTAGGTTGTCTTCTGATAGACCTGGGTTTCTAATTTGCTGTTGTTTTCTCTGCTGATGAGGATTATCCAGGAAGCATAGTGTGTTGTTGTTTTCTTCCTCTCTGGTGAATTTTATTCCTTTGAAGATGTTGATAGTTTCATGTGTCTTCTCTAATTGTTCCTTTTTTATTATAACAGACTGGGAGTAAACTGGTTGGAAATGGAAACAGTAGACAGGCCTGAGGCAGGAGTGCTTTCTCCCAATGTTTTGAGAGCCTGAAGGCAAAAGGACTGATTGTACTAATCCTGTTTAAGAAATGTATGGAAGTGCAGACAGAAACAATGCCTGGTATTAGGTGGCATGGCCACAAGTCTGAAGACCTTGAAGGAAACATAGTTGGCAACTCATATGACAAAAAGTGAACAACATATGGAGAATAAACTGAAGGGGGAAAATTTTTTTTTACAAGACCAAGGGGACATAGAAGGGAAAAAAGAGATCCTCCTCCCAAATTCTAAAACGAAACAAGAAAAAGAATCCAGTAATACTACCTTTATTGTGATTGAAAAGGAAGTGGGAGGGAGAAAGGTAACCATGTCCAAGAATCTATATGGCTCAAGGTGTGCCTCCTGTCCAAAGTCTCCTCAGCTGTTTTTGAAATACATCACCCATACTTGTCATATTTACACACTTCAATGAAGAACTTTCTCATTTTATTATTAACAAGTAATGGAACCAAGCTATAGAGGTGTTTACACAAATGTCACCATTATTTCTAGGAGCAATAAATGTGCTTGTGCAGTTATCAGTCAGAATTATGTAAGAGTCATATTCAGGCTATCTGTTTAGGTATCTGACTGGCTGGTTAATTCTATTTTATAAATCAAGATTTCACAAATACAATCTCTTTCATTCCTGACAGCTTTCTAAGTCCATTAAAGTTTTTATTTACTTTATTTATTTATTTAGTGTTATATTGGTTTGGCCAATATCAAGAAGAAGTGCAAGGTTAGAACTAAACTATCTTTCCAACATCAATTGCCTCTATTAAAATCTCTTTACACTGTTCATTTTTTTTTTAATGAAGAATCAAGTTCTTACGACAGGAAGAACACATACATACAATAGACTAAACAAGAAACTGAAACCAGATTTATGAGATCTAGGCATAAACACATTTAATCAAAACTGCCATTGTTAAAAACCTTACAGCATATGTTACAATAACATTAAGCTTGCATTTTATAAACTTCTCTAGATACACTTTAGGGGAATTTACGCATTGAAAGAAGGACATAATTCACAATAATAGCTTGTTAATACTGAAGGAATCAAGCTGTGTTTTTCAGAAGAACATTAAGCAGCTGCTTTCAAATGAAAGAGTCTGTAAATCAGGACAAATTGTTTTTATACACATTTGAGTTTCATTAATTAAATGTTTTATGGACATAAGACTCTATGAACCTAGCAGTTATTACAAAACACATTTTCAGTTTTTCTGCATAGTACGTCATATGAAATTACTATATTGTGATCCAAGGTATTACATCCATGATGCAATAATAAAATATAAGTAAGAGTTACCTTTTCCCTACATAGTATTTAGGTTACTGATGAATGTTTGGAATTATAAAACATTCCTGTGATATAACAGGGCAATGTAAAATTTTAACTTCAGAGTATATACTTCTACTGAATTATCTGTGCATAAAGAGAGATAGAAAATTAA